AGCACACCGTGGAGTCACCATGCCCTCTGTCTGCCCCACCCCCTTTAGTATCTCTAACGCTTACCCCCTCCCTGCCCCCTCCTCTCCACGTAGCCGATGCAGCACCCCCTCCCTGCCCCCTGGGATTCCACATAGCCGGTGCAGCACACCGCGGTGTCCCCATGTGTTCTGCGCTACCACCCACGCGTCACCATGCCTTCTGTCCGCCCCACACCTCTTTTGTCTCCCTTCCTGGGGTCGGCGGCACTGGGCGGCAGCCCTTAAATAACGGATTTGCTGAAACAACTTGGTTGTGGTTCACATGTTCTGTTTCAAGCGGGGATTGTTATTTCTCCAATTTCATCACTCTCACCCACCTTCCTCTACACAGGAGCTGACCATCTCCAGCCTTCCCCGGGTGACACCATCTGAGCAGCCCCGCAAGCCGAGCCAAGTTCCGTAGCTGTCGCTTGCTAGCACGCGGCACGTGGCCCAAGGGTGACACAGAGGCAAAAGTGTGGAGGTCAAAGAAGAGCACCTGAGATCCACGTCAGCTGTGGCTCCAGGCTACCTTACAACGATAGGATTGTACAAAATCCTGCAGCATCTGGATTCTTGACAATTGTATAAATTGACCCCAACCAGCAAGGTAGGGCCCGTGCCAACATGTGCGAAACGTTGAAGCACGAAATCCTCAGCTCTTGTGTGTGTGTGTGTGTCGTGTGCAGCACTGCTGCTTGAACTTATTGGAGCATCATAATCAACTCTCAATAGTCCAATCAACCAGTGACAATCCCACAGGAAAATCCAAGGCCGTAATGGCCCAACTTCCCACGTATTGCTCTGTTCCACAAACATTCAGCTTGGCACTGTACCAAGTACGGCTACTCTGCTGATGGTTGAAGTTGAAGCAACTCACTTGCAACACAGGCACGCAAACAAGTAAAAAGAGGCAGAGTGCGAAGCCTCCTGGACCTCAAAGTTGCAGCGCATTTGGAGGATATGCCCGCTACTCATTCCGCACCCTCAGGACAATGTTCTTTCCGGTTCTTTCAACACTCCGCAGCTCCAACCAGCTCATATATGATATACTGTATATGCTTTAATGTCCATTGAAGGCCTGCATGGCCATTGGGTCTGATTCATCTCGGCAGCATGCAAAGTTTCCATCACTTTCCCGAGCTTGGCACCATTCTTCTGAATTCCTTGGACTGGGCACAGCTTGTGGCTAGCATCAACTGCTTGAACCTCCTGCCACTGATGCAAGCCTTGACACTTGTCAGGGCATCGATCAATGGTTCCCACAGTGGCCACAGGTTGCCATCCTCACCGACCCAAATCCATTCTAATATCATGATAGCACTGGTGCAGGCAAAACTCGGTCGGATGGTGCGTGGCCAGAGCAACCTTGGCTGGTCGAAACAATGTTTGGACAACTATTGCAGGTGAAGAAAATCCTTGGTGTGGCCAAAGCAAAGGCATAGCGTTTGCCCTATCTCAACCCTAAGAGCTGCAATCAGGTCTTGACATTTGGCCCAGCTGGCCCAACAAACACCAAATTGATTGATTCCCCACGTCGATTGTTCCCCATCGCTATGCATGTTGTTTTGATGGTGATGCTCCTGCTGATGCAAGCAGGTTTAACCATTGAGCAAAGTCCTATTGAAGGAACTGACATGCGCAACAGAAAACTTGCCACATTGCCAGCCAGGCGCTAGCTGCTCCAAAGGCCAACTTCCAGTTCTTACGTCGGTTGAAGGGTCCGTCCCCTGAAAGCCCAGCTTCTTCCATCCTTAGAGGATCTTTTGGTAGCACAATCTGGCACAAGTAGCTGCGGTAAAGTTATGTTCCTGAAGCATGCCCGTGCAGCTTTGAGTATGATGCGATCACGGGAAACCCATTCAAATACATAAGGTGTAGCACGCCACCGAAGTCGCGCATGGTCTCCAATTACCTACCTGGCCTGAAAAAGTAATGTGCCCTGACAACCTCAAGTGGTGCCCGAGGAGGGCGACAATGCCGAGGTGCCCTGACCCTTCTCAAAGAGATCAAGCTTCTCATCCGGGAAAGCCGTATTCCAAAGCAACAAGACCTACGTCATGACGAGCATTGACGAGCTCTGAGAGCTATGGCTATGACTGTACACTTGGCTAGTAATGCTAGTAATGCTCTCATTGACGGATCTGGAAGTTAGGATGTTGTCTTGTACTCTGCTCAACTCGGTGCGATCTCCATGGCCCAAGGCCTAAGGCAAACGTAGCCTATGCACCCCAAGAATCAAAGGCCTGCTGGCAAACAATGTGAACCGATGATCAAAGGCCTGCTTCTGCAGCTCAGCATCCTCGGGCTTTGGGTTGTTGACGACCTTGAGAGGCAAACATGTGCACTTAGACATGGCACTGAAGAATGGAAGCTCTCGTGGCTTCATATTGCAATGTTTTTCATGAGTCGTTTTCACCCTACATGAGTATATAATGTTGGATAACATCCTTCCCGCCTCACCCAACCACCGATATCCGAGCCTGGCGCCGCATGTGCCACACCTGCGGTGCACTTGATTCAGTTGACAGTTGAACAGCCGCATCTCTGCCCTTATAAAAGTTGCAAAGGGCCTGAAAGGGCACAACGTTTGGGGCATATGCTTAGTTAAGTTAGCTGTCTGAACCTAGAGCTCTTAGTTCTCCTCACAATTCCTAACCGCTGTGATTGCGCTCTGCTGGCGGTCATTTGTGTACAGCCATCACACACTTTTCAATCATGCTGCCGCGGCACGGCATCTCTCTCCTCTTCAGTGAGCAAAGTCACATAGCGTGGCCCAAGGCAAACGATGCAGCGATCACAGAAGGACTTTTGGTCCTGGTGAATGGCGACTCGGCACAAAGCGATCAGAACAACCTGCCATGGGAACGCAATCTTCTACTCTTGGCGTGCCAAACGATGTAAGCACAGAACGATAAACAATAGAAGCATCCATTTCGAGAAGCATCCGCATTGTCCCTCCTCGATGTGGGGCTGCTCATCCGTCCGGCCCTCTTCCTGGACTGCAGCTGTGTATCTTCAGAAACCTCTTGTCAATATATACTGTAACTCTATATACCAGTAGTTGCTGGTGGCCGTGAACTTGGAGCGACATGGCAAAGCGTCGTCGCACGAATTTGGGCAACATGTGTCGCAAAGAATCCAAGTATATACCAGCGCGGCAAACTCGCAAGTTCACCTCTGAGGTCCTTCTAGCGTTGGCTCTTCCGCACTCCTCCCTTTCCAGCACCCCACTCCAAAACCGAGGCACCATCAGCCTTTCCTGTTCCATGATGGCTGGAGCCACACAGGCCGCTGCGAGCCAGAAATGGCTAGTTTCAGTGATTCTGATGTGATGTGTTTTTCCTTCAAGCGCATGTAACATATTGTAAAATCATCTACACATGACCACCCTGAGCTGCATGCACAAAGAGGGTAGGTCATGGTAGATCACTGAGTTATTGGCCTAAGTCTAAGTAATTTCCTGAACCCTCTCGGCTGCCAGGCTTGATGCTGCTCCTTGGCCTCCTTGACCTTCCGGGGCTTTCTCTTGCTCTTGGGGGAATGCTCCACCTGACCAGTCAAACAAGGCTGAGCGACTGGCCCGGGCCAACACGCCCACAAACGCTGCACAGCAGTCTTCGATTCCGATTGGTTCTGCAATGTGTCATCAATCACTGGTTCAAGCTGATTCTCAACCTTGCCAACATTCCAAGTGCCTTGGTCTCCACCGGGCTGGACACCCAGTCATCTGGCACCTGATAGGCCAGCCGCTATCCGATTCATGCAGTACCATGGCAATTCAACACGCTGCCACACAGGCTGCTGTCTACCCTGTGTCTCTCCAAGTTGAGTCCTTTTCCTGCAACTGCAGCACTGGCTAGCAACTGCTCGGGCGTTGACTTTACGCAACCATCTATATTTGGGCACTTGACAGCACACTGACAAACTCTTGCGACTTACAGCGCCCCTGAATCGGGCTACCTGTTATAGTAACTGTCTCAAGGCCGCTGGCACATTGACTGGGAAGAGGCTGGAGGGGGTACTCCCTCTTCGTCAGCCCTGCATAGTCGAAAGGGCTCCTCTCTTCAGGGAGCCGATGACCTATGGATATCTATGGACATTTTGAGAAAAATCATTGAGACTGCAGAGTCGAAACTCCAATGAGACATTGCGACACTGGTGTGGCAGTCCCCTGTCTCAGGCGCATCACTGCACTTGATGAGCTGCGTGAGGCCCTTCAAACCTGATGCGCATCAACTAATTTAACCTTAACCAGCCTAGACGTGCCTAGACTCTTTCCATCAAACGCGCTCTTTTGCAAGACTATGTACCAAACATTTGGAAATGATGAATGGTAGAGAAGGAACGCTTCACTCGTGGAGATTCCGAGTGTGGAGGATGGTCTGGCTGTTGACGAAGTCGTTGATGAGCGGGTGATGTTGTGTTCGATAAGGCCCTTTTTCAAGTCATCCAACTCCTCTTGAAGCTTGTCGCCCTGATCCAGGAAGAGACTTGAAGATTAACAAGCAAGGAGCAACAAGAGCACCTGGCTGGGCTGGTATGAGTTTGCAAAGCCGGCTGGCTGAACCACTCACGTTGGCAAACATTCACAAAGCCAGACATCAAAATGAGGGATTGCATTCTCTGTCACTGGCCTCCTTCTTGAGGTCAGATATCTTGTGCTCCTCTTGGAAATAAGCAACTAAGGCTATCAGCACAAAAGCAATCACTAGGACTATCCGTATCCTCCGATCACCTTAGATACCAGGGTTTCTCGGTCCCCTTTCCAGCGGCAAACTGAAGGGCGTCATGCTCTAGCGTACAGCCATTTAAGTACAGTAGTACTCAAGCAGGACAGCCAAGTGGGACCGCATGCTGCTTTGCCATGCGGCCCTTTGCAGAAAAGTCTGGGAAATGCTTCTCTTTCGAAGCCCATCAAATTCATCAATCAATCAAGAGCAAATACCTGCAGCTGTGACACGCCGTTCCCGCGACACCATCTCGGCTCGCAGCTGCTGGCATTCTGCATGCCACTCAGAGGCAGAAGTCTGGAGGGACTGCGTGCTCTTGGCTTTGCTTACAAACTACTATACTACATTCCAGTGACTCAGGACTTGTCGGAGGTAGTCAAAAAAAAAGTGAACCCTAAGTCATCAGGAAAAAGCTTGAAAATTACCTAGGGGTTCAAGTCCTATGTCATCAGGCGCCGCTCTAGGAATTTTGGCCAAATCCATCATGTGAGAGGTGATCAGAGGTGATCATAGGCGATGCTGGAAAATAAGGTGTTTGGGGATGAAGGCCACATGAGTTAGGAGTTGAGGGAGCAAATGACATAGGACGCACTTCGGATATTGAACGATTAACTAGTCCTAAGTCAAGGGTGAATTTAGAATGCTGCTCATGAGTCGCCTGGATCCGGCCGAAGCCATTTGAGCTATCTAGTGACGCTGCGTGGTTGCCGTTGCTGCTGATCTACCCATGAAGGAGTGGCAAAAAGGAATCGGAAGTCTAGGCGATTCCCTCTATCCCACTCTCTTGAACATCGCAGGAGTGTCCTGCTGGGGTGCAAGGACAAACGCAGGTGCAATATGCAGGGTGTTGAGGACTCTATAGTCTCTTGTTTCACTTTTTGCAGGTGACGAATGCAGTTGGATCGGTGGCAACCCATCATGAGGCCAGGAAAAGAGTAAGCAAACACATGAGCGTAATACACATATTCACATTTGTGCGAGGAATCATCCAGCAGCCAGCCTTCACCTTCAAAGGACACTGGGGCAGACCACTGGGCACTAGTCCTAAGTCATGTGCTGAAATGCCTTTGAAGGAAATCCATGCTGGGGTGCGTGGAGACAATATACCGGAGGCAGTGACTGTGTAGCTTTTGTACGTGGCGTTTGAAGTTCACTTGACACATCAGATGGCAGGTGAAGGCAAAGAAACGGAAACTTCCAGCCACATTTGTGACACAGGAGTTGTGATTTGTTTTTTGCAACATGTTCTTGTTGTCTTTGAGCAAGCTGCCTGTGTGACCAGGAGAAGAAGGTAGATGATGACATTGATGATGCCAACAATGCGAATCGCCCACAGGAGAAGCAGTGCTCAAATATATAAGGTAAAGCAAAACCACTATTTTGTATATAGAATTATTATATGTATATACTTATGTATGTATACCCCCTAACCCATGAAAGAGCAAACTGAGTGTGATTGGACTGATCTATAGTTTGCTCAGAATTGGAAACACACACACATATGAACATGCTGGTTCTTTGCCATGGAAAGGAGCTGGGCCGTGAGAAGGATATGGAATCGTCCATTGGTAGTGGTAGCCCTCCCGTGCAGCAGGAGTTCAGATTGGGAGATTGGACAAATATATATATATATATGCTGCATTCCTGTTTAGTGAAAGAAGCAGAAAGAGACAAGCAAAGAGAGAAAGTGAGAAAGAGAGAGAGAGAGAGAGATAACACTAGAAGAACCTAGCGGCCGCTTTTGCAACCGCAAAGGGACTGTGGCTCAGGCGGAAGCGCGGGCATGTCAAGACTCCTTTCAAGTATACTACCCACCAGTGACCCAGGACTTGTCGGAGGTAGGCTCAAGACATCTCAAGACGCAAGTCGGTGTAGTTATGGCCGCTGCTGATGGCTCTTCGAGTGATGATGGCTCTTCGAGTGAGTGGGAAATGCTCAGTGAATCCACGGAGAAGTCGGAGAAGCGTGTTACTGAGGTCATGGCTGTGAAACGAGCCGTGAAGAAAGAAGAACGTTCTTGCAAGAAGTTGCTTCCACTGAAGTCTATGCCCAGTCTGACATGGAGATCCACCCCACGGCTGAAATCACAATTTGTGGATGAACTCACTGCCGCGCACTACCGGCATTTGATGTATGTGGAGCGATGCCAAAAGACGGGGATTAAGCCTATTCCTCTCCGACACTTTTGCTTCGAGATCCTTTGTCAATCAGGATGGATCGTTCAGAAGGGAAAGTTCACATTGTCCACTTCAATGACTTCAGGATGATTACGCTTGGATGTAAAACTGAGTCTGGCCAGTCCATGGTACAATGTTTATATATATACCAATTCACCTGGATCTGCAAACCATTGTCCAGGGTGTTGGCAAATTTGTTTTCTGTGGTCATACTTGGTCACTTTGCACACAAATTCACGTAGATGATGATCGCAGCTTCGTGTTTGCCAAAAATGCAGTTGTGGTGACCATCCGCATTGATAGAGTTGCGATTCGTTTTACATGGGGGAAGTCCTAGGTCATGTCTCCTGGCAGAGGGACTGAGGTATGGAAAGTCATGATGAACATGTTTTGTAATCTAGCAGGATCCTGATTCAGACAAGAGTGAGGCCTTCCTTCAAACAATAATGAATGGTTTCTACTCTTTTGCTGACAACCAGCCACTCCTAACTCATGTCGCCAGTGGCAGGAGCTTCGGGACGACAAGAGCCCGGACGGTGGTAGTCCTGAAGAACTGCAGACACCACAGGAGAACATATTGGGAGAGTGTGTTCTTGACACTTCTACCGTCTTTTAAACTTTTTGGGATTACCGTGAGCAAAAAAATAGATTGAGCCTTTTATTTTTCAGTCCACAAGTCCTATGTCATGGTGCCAGTGGCAGGACCCTCAGGAGAACAAGAGCCCGGACGGTGGTAGTCCTCAAGACTTGCAGACACCACAGGAGATCACATTGGGAGATTGCATTCTTTTGGTGAATAGACATATATATATGATTCCGATGATTTGGAGCTTCTTTGAGAAACCGGTTTCTTTAGGAGCCTCTTGCTACTCCAACCACCTTGCAGGAGATGAAAAGATGTGTCCATTTGCTGATGTTTTTGTTTATATATTCAACGTCTGTTTATGTCTCTTGTCAAATGTTCATTGTTCAGCAAGCAAATTGTGTCCTTCATGTTCAGCCCACACGTCCTAGCTCATGTCGCCCGTGGCAGGAGCATCGGGAGAACACGAGCCTGGACGGTGTAGTCATCCTCAGGAATCGCAGAATCCAAAGGAGCTCCCATTGGGAAACTGTGTATTCTTGACACTTCTACAGTCTTTTCTGTTTTTGGATTACCGTATTTAAACTGAGCCTTTCATTATCAGTCCACAAGTCCTAAGTCATGGTGCAGGAGCCTCAGGAGAACAAGACCCCGGACGGTGGCAG